TTGTGAGTTAGAGAGAAACTCACATCCATATCCCCATGTATACTAAAATCCAAGTCCATCATTCTGTCGTTCAAAAGTCCAAAACGATTATGTGCTCCAAAAATGCACCAGCTAGTCTATGGCTTTAAAACTGTGCTTCAGATACACACAGACAAATGAATTAGCTATCATTCACAGATCCTAGCCTTTCAATCTATGGAAGATTGAGACAACAGCGTCAGATCAGTTGGGACCTAGAAACATATCATTTTTTGACTCACCATAGTGAATTACACATCCGAGATGCTTTTCCATGTGATTCCAGGTCGGTTGAGTACAATCGTGATTCTCAGCAAAAGCTCAATAACTTTTGAATGGAATAAGTTGAGAATGTCGACCTTGTGTAGATCGAAAAAGAACAACTTTTCCCTATCTAACAGTTATATGAACATCCAGATCAACTGACAAATGGTTCCAGAATATCACTTTTAAAATGTTCACCAACAATGAATCCGATTGGTTCACTGCTAAGCAATAGAACTTCAGCTCACATTTGTAGTCCGTGGCTTTCTCTTTGTAATAATGAAAACCACAAGTCTTTATCTTGTTTCTATCATAAGTTATTTAAAACATACCCATCCCGCTTCCATGTTGAAATGGATTATACTATTTCTCGTTAATGAGCTAAGGAAACATGGTACATATGACGCCACCACTAAGGAGAAGGGCAGCAGTCTGTAAAAAGTGGTGATTGATGGTAGTGAAGGGAAAAGGATCGAGTAAGACAATATGGCAGCGTTATCATGACTCCTTCAAATGATAGAATTTTTAGAATGTTGCCTCAATAAATTCTCGTTTTTCACGCAATTTCTCGTAATCTTGAACCCCGGAAAATTTGGATTTGGTTCATATCTACTCAGCTTCGTAGTTTTTTGCAAAAGCCACATAAGTATCATTCTTTTTTTTTCTGAAGAATCCGATAATTCGTGGGAGGGAGGGGGGGGGGGGGGTAGAAAAAGCACCAGTTGATGACCGAAATTAGACGTGGAAAGTCAGCAATGAGTGAAAAGGTGTTAGCGTGCTAGTCGTAATGTTGATGAACGAAGCATTGAAAATCTTACAGCTGCTCCATGGTACCAAAATTTTGTCTATTTTATGTTGCCATTGGGAATTATTCTGGTATTGACGATTCTCGATTGTCAGTAGCGTTGGAATCAAAGTTGTAAGCTTGATTTCTAAAATGTATGACTCCGCACATGAACGAAGTGTTGAATTGGTTCAAAACAAGCTTGAGCTTTGTTTCTTGAGAATATTGATGTATTCAGTGGTGAAGCTAGGGTTTTAGCACTAAAACATTTTCCAGTAGAATTCTTTTGAGGATTGAGTTACTATGAACAATGGAAAATCTCAGTGCGCTATATTTTCTTTGTTGACTCCTTACAGTTTGGTTAGCCCATATATATACGTATTAGGTAGTCCAGATTAAAAGGCGATATCAGCAATTCGTCAATATTGCCCTCACTATTAGCTCAGAAAGATCGGAACAATTTTTTTAAAGAATTTTTTCTTTAATTCTCTTCAAGAATATTTTAAAACAGTTGATGTTAGATAGCAAGCGGGAAGACTAGAATAAAAGTATTTTAAAATTACAACATATTGAAAAAAGCGAAAATTAGCATAAAGGATTCATTGTTAATTGGTGTATGAAAATTTTTTTGACTTAAATTTCGTGATACGAAACAAATTGGTTAAGGCTGAACCAATAGACCATTCCAATTCAAAATACCTTTTATACTTGTTTAGTGCCTCATACTACGCACAATCAAAGAAAGCAAAGAAACTTATTCTTCTGAAAGAAAGTTAGCTATGGTGAAGCTTCTAAATATTATTTTTGTTTAATTATTCAGAATTGCAATTCGACATAAACTATTCTTATATTTTCCTTAAGAGAATTGAATGGGAATTCTTCAAAAGTAAGTCGAGCCGGAAACAATGAAAACTGAAAGAGATATTGATGAGATACTAGCATAAACATTTTATCAAGATCACCAGATAGTAATGAGACATTGTGAATAGGAAGAGAATACCAAAGCTTAGTTTTTTTTTGGATTTTTCGAATCTTTTTAAAACTCCGGAATATTTTTCTTCTCTATCGTATACTGTGAAAGTATGATATCTTTTATACGACTAATCTAAACATATCCTCATATAAATTAATTTATCGTTGGATTAGTTTCTTCCAGTAGATTGATTCTAAAAACTATAATTGTACCACAGGAGTAGTCACATAAACTTCTTAAAACTAAATAATTCCTCAGTGGATTGATTCTTCTTCCAGCTAATACATGCTAAACATAGCAGGGTCGATTTATATCAATAGTCATTATTCTACAATGTTTACAACTAACAACGCAAAACGGCTCAGCGGTTAGTGCCATGGCTTCTCAATTTATACGTCTAAGATCCGAATCCTTATTCGGTTTTGTGTTAATCAGAACTTTCTTTAGCTTAATATTTCATAAAAAGATTCCTATTATAAATCCTACCATGTAATATCGAATAACTATATCCTACCAGATGTGTCCCAAATATATGATTCCTTCAGCATGTTTATTATACAAAATATCCGCATCCTTCTCAAATGCTTCATCATCGTCGTTGCAGCGTCGTCGAATGATACAAAAATGAGATTGCTATATTAATGTAATTGAGGGCTATGACAGAAAACTTACGCGGAATCTTAGCATTATAGCCCTTCTAGAGATAACATCCTCGAGGAATATGAACGACTTTTGCTTTTTCGCACACGCTACCATATTATTTCCTAGACCGATCGTAACATTTCCCAATGACTAAAACCTCGAAATACTGAGTGATCGCATTTGTTCGCTGTTACTGAAAAATTCCGGTTGACAATTCTAGATACGGTGGTATTATGGTATCATACCATGCAACGAGACAGTCATGAGGGTTTCGCGGCTGACCTTCTCTCAAATAATTTCTTACAATGTAACTAGTATCGTCCGTGAGTAGAAAATCAAAATGTTGATTGATTACAACTGTTCGCATCGACCAAAAATGCAGACAGACGGTCCTCAAATAATAGCCATCGTACAAATATTTGCACCATTACGAATACTAGATATTTCGCTGTTAAAATTATTCGTTCTGAAGAAATTATCCTAAGCACATTCTTCATCAAATACTCACTTAAAGAGAATCCCTGCAACAAAAGTTATGAAGCGCTTGTTTTTCGTGCAGTATTCCGTTTAGTTTTTAATGGAATCAAATCTTTTCGAATAATAGAAGAATACAATACTGAACAGCTGTAATTCAACGGTGGCAGCCAGAAACTGGATCAGAAATGTTTGTTACAGACGCTTTGTGAGGAGATTGGCTTTACGATAGATAAATTCTATTGTTTATTTCGTACAGAATTTCGGACAATTTTCGGCACGAGAAAATCAATTGCAGTGATAGGGAAAAGACACTATACAAGATTAGTCGTTCTACTTGAAGACCAAAAAATCCGTTCAATATTCATGTTTGTCAAGGCTTTATCAAAAGACTGCATTTTCAAAGAGATAAATTTGTTTGTGTACTCGTGCAAAATCTTGTGTACTTCCTGTTAGAATAATAGCGTAATAATAGATTTCAATTAACGAAATCGTAATCTTTAAATGAAACACAATTTTACATATTACACAGTAGATGAACAATTATAACTTCATATTTGAATGATTGAATTCAATAAATCGTGTCGAATATGTTACAAAAAAAAATACAAGCACTTATAAAAAATAAATTCATCGATTTGCACTTAATCGATTAACTAATGGTGCTTTCGAATGTACAATCTTTTCAAATTTTTGTTTCGTCCTTACGAAAATGTAATAATTCCAAGGCAAACGGAATCAATGTGATTTTTAAGGCGTCGGCAATTCGAAGTATGTGCAAAATTTCCTTGACGTTTTTTTGCTACGGTTAAATAGAGCTCGTTTAATTACCCATAAAAATACTATTTTTGAATTATTCAGACGATGTTTTTGTAGTGAAACTTAGGAATTAAGTTTTAAAAAAAAATCAGAAAAGCTTATAAAAATCGAACTATTCCGACAATACCAAATATCAGTAACCTCAACATCTAGCTGAATTTTGGATTTTATTCGTCATATAGTAAGGAAAAAAAATTATGCAAGATTTTTAAAAAACATTATTTCATTGTTAAGAAGATCGATTTTATTCGATATGACAGTACAACGTCCTAAATATATATTAGTATTTCTAAGATTTTAAACATTAGAATTTCAGTTTCAAAACAAATGAATATGACATTCGTTTGTTTTGAAACTAAAGTTTTGGATATGGGTATTGATATGAAAGTTAGTATGCAGAAAGAAGATACCCTCATGTCCACATCCATACTCATCATATGTTCACAATATATCAAACTATATTTATATAAAAAATTCAAACAATATCTAATACCGAAACTGTATTGACTTTGATTGATTTCAGTGATGAATTTTCTTTTGAGAAACATACCAATTTATTTCCTATCTAATGTATAGGTTTTCCTATCTCAAATTTAATAATTCATCTTTCTTTATTGTAAATCTGCTAGATAGATGTCACTTATGTACCTTATTTAATCTGTGAATAATAATAAATATTGAAGTTTGAGGTACAATCAAATTTTTGTGATGCATTTTAATAAATCCTATGCTATTGATATATTTTATCATAGGTTTCTCATATCCTTTTTCATTGGATAAAGACAATTAACCAGTCATATGCACGCATGGAACTATTTTGATTCTGAATCGTTCGCTTGACTGTTTTTATCTGACAATATTTACTTTTTTTTTCCAACTTTGATTAAATCAAAATAGTATTGCTTACACATAAATTTTTCTCGTTTATTTAAACTATTTAATTCATATGATAATGATCTCGATAAATATATACCTAAAATGATTACAAAAACTTTATAAATTTCATTATTTTTTTTTCTAGATGATATGGATCATGATAATAAATTTCGTTTTTTACAATGGTCAACAATTTTTCGTTATTTATTAATCATTAATTTTATTATTAATGATATAAATGCTCATACAAAAAAATCTCTAAATGATATTGATAATGAAAAATATGTATTTGATGGACATTTTAGTAATAATAAAAAGTTCGCTATTGATGATTGTATACCATTAGCATTTGGTGATTTTAATGCCGATAAAATTGTTGATATTTTTTGTCGAAATACAAAAGGTAATAGTATTCGAGTTATGCTTAATGATGATCGATCACCAACATCTAAAGTACAATATATAGTGAATATAACGTATGTAAACATGTTAAAGAATTACATTTGTTTATTTATGTGTTTCTTTTTTCTTACATATAGAGGAATTATTTACGATGCATTAGCAGCTGATTATGATGGAGATAGTAAACTTGATTTATTTATACTTTATAAAACAACATCCGATCAAACAGTATACAATGGTGGATTTCTATGGGGTGATCGAATTAAATTAAGTAAGTATTGATTTTTTGTTCTATAATAATCTATAAGATAGAATCTGTGGGCACAAACTTTTTTGGAAATATCAAAAATCAAGTTTTTAAAATACTAAAAACTAGATATACGAAGTAAATATTGCTTATTGGGAAAAATAGATTGCCATTTTTTTTCTCGATTTGACGCATCTTGTATTATTTACTGTTACTTATATTATGTGACGGAGAGTTTCAGACACCAGTAAAATGAGAAAAATATTTATTGTGAAATGTCTTCGATGACATTCTCTATTTTATCGAAATGAACATGCAATAGTCCTATTGTAAAGCCTCTCTATATGAGCACATCCTTATTCTGAGCAGTAAACATTGATTTCTAGTTCCATGAACAATAACAATCTTTGCAATGTCATCAACATAGATCCTGTCATTCACGTACAGAACGACAAAAAACAGGATGTTATGTGTATTGCATTATGATAAACAATCATGCGACACATTAAAAAAGGAAGTAGACTAACCATAAATATTTAAAAGAAAAAAAACAATTGTAACAATGCTTGGTGTAACATCAAGTCATGTCGACACGAGTTGATTTACCTCTACTTAAGTAATTGTTGGGAAAAGATCATCTTGTGTAGTCAAAGAGCAATTACAATTGAATACTTTTAAGTTACAAAAAAAAGGCACTTCCATAAAGTGGACACTTGTGATCAGTTTCGATGGTGTCTACATTATAGAAAATTTTTGTTGTAGTTAAGAAGATAGAAAGAAAATTATTTAAAATAAATTTTAATTTTTCAGGCGATCTTCAACCAATAGATTATTTATTTCAAACAATTCCAACAACTCTTGAGTAAAAGAATTTTTGTTAATTTTGAACTTATTTTGAAGGATTTTGTTTTTATTTATTTAGTGCTAATGGTGATTCATATGTTGAATTATTGGGTATGATTAGTAATGATAAAATTAATTATAAACCAGCTTGTTTAACTTTGTAAGAAAAATTTTTTATTTCATTTATAAATAAATTTTTCTTTTTTGTTTTATAATGTTTAAGTAAAAATCGTACTGTAAATAATTTTGAAATATTAATTAATGTTGATAATCTTTATCCAAATTCGACACAAGCTACAGTTGATCTCAATAATGATCTTGTTGCAGGTTAGATTAGCATAAAACAACACAAAGAGTTCAATGTTTTTTTTTTTTGTCTTAATAAATAGATTTATTTTTAACAATTAATCATAAAAATAAACCAAAATTTCGTGTTTATGAATTACCAATAACACAAATGACATTAATTACAGAATATGATCCACCATCCAATATTGCTATTTATCATTTGTCAACATTTGCTGATATAGGTTAATCATTAAAAAATAGTTTTTATTTTTAATAATATATTTTCTTTTATTAGATGCTGATGGTGAATTAGAACATATTCTACCAGTTTGTATGAATTTCGATTGTTCAGATAGTCGAATTTATGTACGAGATAATAATGAAGTGAGTTACAATTTTATAAAAAAATAAAATTTTATATTAATAAAAATGATGTGTTTTTTTAGTGGTATCAATTACCAATTCAATTCGGTAATGATTTAAGATTTCCTTCGAAGAATGAATTTCCATCACCATTTGATTATATACCTATCAGTATTAAAATCGCTGATTATAATCTTGATGGTTATCCAGATATGGTAGCTGTTATGAAGGCAAGGTAAATCTCAAACTATTAATTACGATAGTCACAATCAAGCAATGATATATATATATATATATAACACTTCCATATTCAGTTTGAAATGTTTCGATTGTAGAAGTAGGCTTAGTATTTTGTTTAAAATTCATATGTAAAAGTTAAGAAACAATCATAAAGATCATAAAAATAAAAATTGCAATTTGTGCAAAAAATATTTAATAGACATGTAATCTTAGTCGCAATAGGCGAAGGAAAATTTTAATAGATTCTAGTTAAATTGAATTGTAGAGTTCTTTTTCATTTATAATAAAGGATTCCTGCTACAAGGTCATTAATAATTCAAAATGATCATCAATGAAATTTCTGTCTAGTAAAAATATGAAACATAAAGAAAGTTCTTTTAATATTAACGTAAAATTTTTAGCAAAATCTCATGAGATTTGTAAATTAATATCGCATGATAAAAAGATATTAATCATATTTGTGACATGATGTTTGAACAAAGACAAAAATTCAATATTTTACATTCTAACTATTAATAGAAAGGAATAATATTTATAATAAAACCTACTATGAAAAGATTAATAATTTACTAGAGTTTATCGATTTTATACTATTAAATAAAATGACAAGATATTGTTGTGTTTATTAATTCTGATAAACAAAAAAATCAAAAATAAACTTTAAATTTCAGTTCAAACGGTAGTACTGTTTCAATTATTCTTCAAAATCGTGCATGTGGTCCTGATAATAATTTACACTGTACTTATAATCGAACATTTATACCTCAAGCTGATGAAATATTTGTATTGGCAGCAACAAATGCATCACTTGCAGTATTTTTTGATGTTTTAGAAGATGTAAATTTTATAATCAAATGAATTTAAATCATTTTTAACACATTTTTTTTGTTTTTATTCTTTAAAGGGTTATCCAGATTTACTTGTTTTACAAGGAAATTCAAAACAAAATTTTCAATTAATTGGTTTTCAAAATTCACTTGTACAAGATGTACATTTTATTAAAGTGATGGGTAAATTAAAAATAAGAAGAAAATTAAAATTTCAAAATTTATTTATTTTAGTTCTTAGCACTTTTTCATGTGATACATGTTCTCATCAAAATAAATTGGTAGATTTATTAAACAAAAAACAATAATAATAATTTCAATAATTGTTTTCTTTCAGCCTTATGGTAATGATCAACCGGGTCAATCGGTTAAAATGGAAACAATTACTATTTTAGATGGAATTAAAGATAATTGGATTCAATTATCAGGTAGATTGAATTTATACAATATTCTTTCATCTAATGGCAGATCTAAGATGTCAATAAGGAAGCAGAGAGGAGGGAGACGCTTTGTCGGAGGTCAATTTTGGGAATCATAACCGATTAATTAAATTTTTTCAGATCCTAGTCGTACTCTAAAAAACACGTGCAGTGAAATTTTTTTTTATTCTAAATTGGATTGTCTTCCTTAGTTTTTATCTTCTTCATTTGCCACTATCCTCAGCAGTTCGATCTAATCGAAATGATTTAATTAGAAAATTATGAAATATGATATGGGATAGAACAGAATAGATTTTCTTGACAGTTAGAATCAAATGATTTGTTTTTAGCTGTTCAAATGTCTCAGTCAGGTCAATTAACACTTGAATTACCTTATGTAATAATTGGTCTTGGTGCAACACCAAATTTCGTAGAAAAACTTACCGTTGCAATTCCACCCAATAGTCGATCAGTTTGTATTACATATATATATATATGTATATGTATTTCTCTAAGATCATCCATTATCTTTATAGAATCAATTAGTTCGAACATATACTCAAATGATACCGAATTCACAAATTGTTGTTGTACCATCACCATTAATGAATCCAGAAAAGTAAGTTCAAAGAAAAGAAAAAATTAAATAATAAAAGGAAGAAAAAAAAAACGTTTTTTTTTTTTTGTTTGTTTTATTATATAGATGGCATAGTAAACTTTTCATAACACCTAGTCGAATGATTTTACATACGGGTATTGCATTAAGTGTAACACTTATTGTATTAGCAGGTGTACTTGCTATATTACAATATCGAGAAAAAGTTTGTGTTTTTTTTTTCTTTTGTTGTAGAAGTTAAAAATAATCTGAAAATTACATTTATTCTAGGTTGAAGATGATCGTGAACGAAAACTGCAATCACAACGATTTCATTATGATGCTCTATGATTTTGTTTATCGAATGATTTTGAATAATACTTTGTTAAATAGATGTTTTGTATTTTCCTATATTTGAGAATTCTATGTTTTGTTTTTAATTTTAAAGAAAATTTTAATAGATGATACATGAATGATTTTTTTTTTTTTATTTGTTTATTGAAAATATAATGATTTTTATTAAATAGATATAAATAACTCAATAACATCAATCATTATCATTATGGCAAATAATTTTACATACAATTATAATCGTAAGTAAATAAATTATTTATAGACATTTTATAGTTTGTTTTTTTTTTAAGAGAAATCAATCGAATTCTGGTCTAGTTCAATAGCGTTTTTAAATTATTCATAATAAATTTTATGTGAGATCGAAAATTATTTCATTAAACTCTTATGAAACAAAAAACACTAAACTTTTCTTTTGAGATTTATCTTCATAGAAAGGATATCAAAGAATGTTGAACTATTAGGAAAGCAACCATGATTAAATCTCTTCTGGCAATAGAATATCTTCAGTTGACTATTTTGTTCAAGCATAGAAATTTCTCAACGAAGTCTTCTATTGTCTCTTATTGGTTTTCATAATTTTTAATTAAAAGAGTTTTTTTTAAAAAAAACTAAAACAATTTCGATGATTTTCAAAATTTTACAACTGAAAACTAAGCATATTTTGATATAAATATACTAATTAAAGTTCGAATTTTGTGTGCAATCAATTAATGAACGACAGACTTCTCTTACGGAGAGAAGTTATTAGACATGTATTGTTCTCGTTCTCAAAGAATTCTTCTACTTCGATCATCATACTTTTAGAGAAAAATGACCTATCCATTTAAAAACATTGTAATAAATTATACTGTTTGCTTTATTCATTATACGTTAGTTCTTATCTAGGTCAAGAATACTCTTAACTAATTTATAGTGGGAGAGTACTACCGTGTGAGGATGAGGTTATTGTTACCTTGAAGCAACATATATACTTTATTGTAAAGTAATAATGTGGAATGAATGCTGAAAAAAAAAGTTAGTGATCAAAAATACTCTTACCCATTCTTTTATAAATTTCTATTCAAGAACAAAAAAAGAATGAAAAGGATTTATTTATATTTATTAGAGAACGTTGTTTTTTTTTTTTTGTCTCATTTATAATAGACTCTTATTTGATAGGTATGATTCTATGGATATATTTTCGACTTATTAAAATAGTGTTTATTTATAGATTTACTATTCAATTAACAAAAAACTTTTTGCTACAGTTTTTTTTTTGACATTTTTTTCTCATCTTCACAAAAAAAAATAGTTCGAAATTGAATCACGTTGTTATATTTTATTTTCCATTCATTGATTATTTTTTTTTTCTTTCTTCGTTATCAAAATATTGATATGATATTTTGAGACAAACACATTATCCTATGTATTTAATCGTTAGTCGACGAAGAAAAAAAAAAAAAAATAATAAATAATAGTTTATAGTGAATGAGAAAAAATATCAGTGCTGATTTGATTTATTTGGTGAGAAAAAGACACAGAATACAAGACAAAGATTAAAAACCTAAGTTACCTTTAATATAAATATGAATAAAATTGTTTCAAAATTCTTTTTTATTTTTCATTAAAAATAAAAGGTAATAATTCAACATCGGAGAATAATAATAATAATTGTCAATCATCATTAATAAATACATCGAATTGTGATTCAATGCAAATTAATCATTTAATTAATCAACGTCAATTATCCGATTCTCGTACACCGACGAAATGTTTTATTCTTTTCGAAAATGCATCATCGATAAATTCGATTAGAATTCGTTTTATTGAATATCTTGGTACACGTTCTCGTCACCATCATTCAAAAAAATTATATTTACCACAAGTTTTCAATAATCATCAAACATCATCACATGAAACATATGAAGAATTTTCAAATTATGTAAAACAAGTTTTAGAATCAATACCATATCATGAATTATCATCATATGTTGTTAGTGTTCGAACAGGTGTTGCATATTTTTTTTCTAGACGTTTTCGTTTTAATTATAAATATTCAATTGAACAAATTTATAATCTTATTCAAAAAAAAATTCCAACAACTGATAATCAATATTATTATCAATCAATACACGATTCCAAACAATCAGATAATAGTTTACGTTCATCATTTTGTAATGTTAAACCAATTAGTCAAACTCGGAAATTTGTTGAAAAACTTGAAGGATATCAATATTATGTTCAACAACAAAAACATGTTTTTCGAATTTATTTACAATCAGATGATAAACAAACTCATGTTTGTATAGTTGATCCATCATTACATTATTCAATTATTGAATTTTCAAAAGATTTTCAAAGAACATCAAATATAGGTAAATCAACATACAAGATTTTTTTTTTTAACTTTCTAATAATAAGCGAAGATACGTAGGAAAGAGGAACATATGAAAAAGAATATACAATTATACGATAGGGTTAACTCATCACAGTTGTATATTCAATGATAAGAAAATTTATTGTTTTACGATTATAAGATGCTATCAGATTCGAAATTGAAACTAGATCGGTATGTATCAAAATGACCGAAAGAAAAAATAGCGAACGAAAGAATAGCGTAAACGAAAATGTCGACACGAGAAAAGGCGAAAACAATTATTACGAAAGAAAAAATGTCGATCATATAAAAACAGTGAAAATATATATTTGACTCACACTATTGAAAATGTTCTAGACATCACTAAGTGACACTATATCTTTCAGTTCTGTACTAGTATCTACTTGAAGACGCGAATCTGAATCGGTAGTTCGTAGTTCTAATTAGGTCTGTATCTTATTGTCACGTCTTACACCGACATTCTGTCCTTTCCTAACCGACAACATATATCGACAAGCCTATTTTTTGTTGGTACCTAACCACAGGAATATTCTGCGCTGCAGTTGATCCGCCCTTTTTCGCTTTTTCCCCTAGAAAATCTCCAACATTTTATGCATCTTTTTGCTCAATACCTCTCAAAAAGTTCCTCAACTCCTCATAAATGCGATCAATTTCATCGACAATCTTTCAATCAGACTCCTGAGTGATCAAATTCAGCTTGCTTCCAGTTTTAACAACGTATGAATATCCTGTTTAGATATCTATTACATATTTGTATGTAGTAAAATATCCTCATCCTGTTAGTAGAGAATGTTAAAATAAGCTTTTTCGACATTCTAATATGATTGGTGTTCTATTCTCTTACTATAAAGTTTTCGACATTTTTTTACTTCACCATTTTTTATATTCGCTATTTTATTCTTCGCCATTTTTTCTTTCGGCCAATTTAATGTCATTCACTAGATCAAGTTCTGCATTTTTTTGGAACTCATATGATGTTTGTCGAAGAAAAAAGTATAATGAGTATTGGTTTTAAGTCGAAGTTTTGCGGCTCTCCCATTCATCGCAACTGGAGCCAAAGATTATTGGATATGCTTTCCATCGCGACTGAAAATAACTGCCACCAGACTCATTTTCCAGAATTTATTAGCAAAGAAAAAAGGATGCTGAACAGCATTAACAACAAGTTTAACACTGTTCTACAACATTTCAAAATCTTTGTTGAAGTTCAAATGACTGGAATATATTTGTGAATTTTCAAAATAGTGTAGTCAGTAATCTTTCCGCCTATAAACATTTATATTGAAGATGTCAACAATGACGAGTAGTCATGCGTTAATTTGTCATAATAGTCATATGATCAAGATAAAAAGTGCGACATGACCAAGCATATAATGAATATATACGACCTGTTTATTTATTCGTTAAAAAATGGTTCGAATGATAATAGTGCTTAATTAAGAACAGAAAACGAAAACGAAAACGAAAAATAACGAACGAATGGCAATAGAGCAAATAAACAACAGAACGTCACTAAAAAAAAGAGAAATAAAAAAAATTTTGTGTTCGAAATGCAGAAATGAGTAAGATATAGGTCATGTCTCTAATGATCGATTATCTTTCGAAAACAACTATAGTATGCAAAAGGATTTTCGACTTTACACACGTGTCGTATTAATATAATGAGACGCAGGTACACGTGTGAGTTCTATCTTTTAGTTTCAAAAGAGCTATATTGAGAATAATTTTTTTTTTACGTTTGATTGAAATATAATCATTCAATAAAAACATTACATTGTATGATTTTTTTTGTATTCATTACATCATGAAATCTTTCTTTTTGTTTTTTTATGATATATTTATCTTGGATAATCTAGCAAGATTTTAATACATTATTCTCATAATTAGTACATGTAAATCTCTTATAGTTTTGTTTTCACAGGAATTTCAATCATTAAAAAAAAACTACAGTATTGATAAAAGTTATGAAAAATTCATTAAAGAAAAAAAAATGATTATATATGTTTTTGTTTTTTTTAGACGTTATTCGAGATCGTAGTTCATCAAAATTTGAACAAACTAAAACATATGATGATATATTTGATTTTCGTATACAATTTCAATATAATCCTTGTACACGTAGTGATCAAATGGATATAATTGAATATGAATTACGACAACAATTTCCATCACTTAATTCAAATTTTAAAAATGAAAATATCTTACGACCATTAAATAATAACATAAATGATGATGAACTTTATATATGTCAAGATTTATGTCCATATGTACGTTTTATTCGACGTGATTTTGGTGATGTTTATCAACATAATGGTGACGATGAATTATTTGAAAATTTTACTATTTATCTTGAATCATCTGTTGAATATAGTATTGATCATCAAAAATCAACATGTAAACGTCAATTAGATACACATGGAATTGTGTATGCTCGATTAAATCTTAATACAATGATATCATCAAATTCAATTGATGAAAATTTATTAATATCAAAATTATGGAATATGGGTGAAGGTTTAACATGTATAGCTGGTCAATGTACAACATCAGAAACACAACAATCAACTAATTATTATACATTTGATGGACAAGAATATACTGCTCAAGATGAAACATTTGTTCAAACAATACTTAACAAATCAACATTACATTCAATGCTTGGTTTAACAAATGATGTAACAGACGATGAAATTGAACAAACTTTTAATTGTATAACACATCAATTACAAACAAAATGGGATTGTATTCGAGGTGGTCAAAGTGCTCGTGAGAAAATTTATGCATTTTATCATCAGTATTTCAATGAACAGAATTGAAATATATTTTAAAAAAGTTCTTTTTTTTCAGATATTTATAAATTATTTCTTTGTTTTTGTAAATAAATAATTCTGCATGAATGATTATAAAATATAATTTTTATTTTTTTACTTTTTAGATATAAATTCATTGTTTGAAAAAAAAAATGGATAATCAACAATCAACTAAAATGCCAAAACCATTCGATGATGATTCTGAATTAAATACATCAACTATGGAAAGTAATCCACAACGATTCGAATTACGAGAAGATAATGGATTTAAACCAGAAGAAGATTATCGACAAGGTAACTTTTTCGATTATTTTCATAAATGACATGTTTGATCAGTGTAGGTTTAAACAAACATTAACCTATATCTTTTACTGCTGTCCTTACAATCAAATCTTCCCGAATTGAAAATTACTTTTGACATTAGACTCTCTACATAAGATAGACTCCAATGAAGTTTTAAAAACTGCAAAATGATAAAGACTCCCAGACTTTCCCTACAAAGTTATAGTTATTTTATTGAAATGTTACTTATAGATAGGTTTATTTGTAGGCCAGAATGTCCTGAAAATTGTAGCTCAAAAGAATGTTTTCTTGATCAGATATTGAATTCTTCAAAAAATAACTCATAGTCCACGAAAGATTCGAGAATGTTGGTTGTTTTTGAAAATTCAATATTTCATGAAGGAAATATTGTTTTGAGCTGAAATTTTCAGAACATTCCAATCACAAGTAAACCTATCTATGAATAAAATTTCAATAAAATAACTATAACTATATAGGGAAAGTCTAGGAGCCCTTATCATTTTGCAGTTTTTAAAACTTTAGTGGAGTCTATCTTATGTAGAGAGATCGAACTCAAAAGTGTGTTTCAAGTTGGGAAGATTCCCTCATTAGTAGGTTTCAATTGATGAATAATTTAACATAAAAAAATTCGTGACTGAGTTTTTGAAGATACTCAATATATATATATATATGGAAATTAGTTCTACATCAAACTAATCTTCTATCTTGAGCTACAATTTGATAACTAATAGTTAGAAGATAGTTTATCATTCTCGAAACTAATCTAGCCTTGAAAAACTATTTTGAACATTAGTTCATATTGTTTAAGATGATTAAAAAACGATATTTTCTTATATTTTAATGAGACGATCGAATACAAGACATACACATAGCCAAACTAACTTCAAAATTTTAACCTATGGCACGAAAGTTTTGGTAAAGTTTTGTATTTTTACAAGCAGTTTTTGTAAACAGCGGTTTTTTGCGCAATATCAATTCCCATAGAAACTAACTCTTTAGTGGAAATACATACATGAGATTTCGCTTATTGTAATGTCTTAATTTCTACAGAATTCAATGTTCTACAATAATGTTCAGTTGAAGTTGTTCCAAGATACAAACTATATATACTAAAGACTATGCCAAAACCGCTATTTCACTGTGCATAGACACATTTTGAATTTTTTTTACATAATATACTGATAGTTATACAATCAACTGCTTCTGGCTTTAATCATAGTGACCGAAAGATGAGTGAATATGTCGTGTCAAGAGTTTCATGTTATAGATTATTATTCAATCGAGATCTGAAGAAGTTAATCAAACATTTTTATTGTAGAGTCTATTATTTATATAAACATACTTTTTGAAAATCTATTTTATTAAATTTTACAGATGTATAAAATTTCATCTAATTTGATTTGTTTTTAGAATTAATGAAGGTTCAAGATGAAATCGTAACATTACGTCAAGTGCTTGGAGCTAAATTAAAACGTGAAAGTGAACTTAAAACATTATTAGGTGTTGGTTTTGTTGATGATCTTAAACAAGATTGGCAAGAAACTGTTCATGATATTAAATCATCAACAGCATATCAAAAAACAGCTGAAACATTACAAGCTGCTTCGAATAAAATTGCTCCAGCTTTACAAACGGTTAATACAACAGTTAAATCACGTCTTGGTTCTATTAGAAGTAATAATTATTTTTCTTTTATTATTATTATTATTTTCTTATATTATATTTTCATTTGTAAGATTCAAATTATTTCAAAACATTTGAAAACACACTTGGTTCAACTGTTACTGCTGTTAAATCAAAAATGACACCATCAAAATCAGCAATGCATTTTAATGGAAATAATCCAGATGATACGAGTCATGGCGCTGCAGGTGTATCTATGTCTACTAGCGTATCGCATGATGATTATCTTAATTTTAGTGATAATTCAAATGAAAAAAAAGATTTAACAAATAAATAAATAAATAAATAAATACAAAAGCAATATAAAATAAAAATATATATCTGTACATCGATTGCAGCCAAATATTAATGATAAAAAGAAAAACATTTTTAATTTATTTATTCGTTTTTTTGTTTGTCTTCTTGGGTTTTAACTAATCTAATTTCTTCTTCGTATATTTATCAACATACATACTTATTCAATCATTTGTCTTGTTGTTTTTTTCTGTTCTCGTATATATTATTCTTTATTGATCTGTATCATATTTATTGAAGTTAAAATTTGTGAAAAAAAAACGCATATATCATAATCCAAAAGTAACATTTCAATAAAGTCATTTTACTCATCTTATTATTTCTTTGTCTTCGGTATTGTTGTATAGACTCATGTCATTTTCATCGTTTTTTTTTCTGTTGTCGTTACGTATTTCTATTAAGTTTTTTTTTCTTCTATTCTGAATAAAAACAACAAAAAAAAAAAAGAGTTCAAAAATAACTTTATCATTGATATATCTGAATTATTTAAATGATTATTTTAGATATGGGAGGTTGGAAATTAGAAGTTTTTCGTAAGTAACGAGCAAAAACAAAAAAAAAAAAAATAACCCGATATTCGAAGACTAAATATTTTATATTCAAGGCATGGCATGCTACGTAAGTTTTCCACTTATGGCTATGTTTTTATTCAGTCGACCTGAATTATTCAAAGATCAAGTTATTGAAGCTCGAAAACGATATCATCCACCACCAAATCCTGAACGTGTAAATTTAAATAATTAATATTTTGAATCAATAATGAAAAAATGTTTTTTATTTATATTAGGATGAATTAATTCGACAATTAAAAGAACGTGAACGACTTCGTCGAGAAACTGAAGTTCTTGAACAAATGAGTCATTTTCAAACAAAACAAAAAGATTCAAATGCATCTTGAATAATATCAGTTTTTTTTTGATTTTTATTAGTTATAAAATTTTTGTTTATGTAGAAAATATATTGTAGATAAATAGAATTTTATTTTTGAAAATAGAATGTATGGATCCTGCAACAACAGCCGTTATTAATTATTTAGGTATATGATATTACTTTTTTGTTTTTGAAATGTATATATATGAATAAATAATCAATTTATTAATTAGAACAACGAGCTGAAATTGATCGAGTTTATGTAAAAGATAAAGGTACATGTTCGTCAGATGCTTTTCTACGTTGGGAAGAAGTAAGATAATTTGATAGAATCAAATGAAAATATAATATTTATTTTGTTTTGTTTTATCTCGCATAGAAAAATGAATGTGAATTACCTGATGATCTGAAAAAATTCTATACAATGTCAGATGGACTTGAAATACGATGGTCAATTAAAACAGGAAATAATAGTAAATATATATATATCTAATAAACAATCAAAATAAAAATTGATTTTGTTGATTATTTTTTCTTCCTCAAGCTTTGATACCTACAGTTATTGGTAAAATGCATATAAATTCATTAAATGATTTAACAAGAATAACATCATCAGGATCCAAACAGACGGCAGTTGATGAATTGAATGATTTTGCTGAGAATGGTATATTATTTTTTTTAATAGTAAATCATATTATGAATTCAAAATAATTTTAGATTCACCTCGATTCAATTCTCGTTCATGGTATATATTTGAACTTGATTCTTGCGATGAACAAGAACGTGTTTGTCTTGTCTATGGTCCAGTATGTATTAATACTAAGAATAATATATATATATATATATATATGCTTGAATTCGTTCTACTATTTTAAATAATCATAAGCAAATTTGAAATGTGATTTAGATAGTTTGTAAAAATTTATCAAAATTATCTATTGTTGAATAGAATTTTACAATCTAGAGCATTTGTAAGAGTACGAAAGTTGTACATGTAAAAGAAGTTCATATCAAGATGTCGAAGAGGTTTTAATAAAAATTAGATTCGAATTTCTTCGAAGATTTTAGTATGGGTGTGTGAAAGTAGGGAAGTAGAATCTATCGAATCTTTTGCTGGAACAAGCAGAAAGCGCAAGGAAAATTTTTCTAAACGATTAAAGTATAAGATAAATCGTTGCCTATTTATTGAAACAATACTAAGATTTAAAAGTAGACAATTTTTCTCATTAAACAGTTCATTGATATTTTCCAATGTTTCAAGTTTTCCTGATTTTTCTCGGCAGATCACTTTTCTTCGGGAGTGTTGCTACAAACTGCGGATAGATTCTCTATCTCTGTATGAAAGTTACTTACGAGAGAACATATCCAACTGTTGGACGTCGTTCAACTTAATATATATGCTTACGAATAAACTCTTGTGAAACTAAGAAAAAGCTTAAAAGGATTCGGATACACAATCTACTAATAAACAGTTATAGTTGTTTTAATGAAATTTTTACTAAGAGCAAGATATTTTCAGAAAACCCTTAAAACAAAAAGTTTTAACTTGAAATTTTGTTTATCGACGCGCATGATAATGATCATTGGATAGTCAAAGAAAACGAACATGTCTTTCTCGAAATATTCAATGTCTAGATAGATTCGATTGCTGAGCCGTCTATACTAAACTGCTGATTGTTTGTTTTTTTGGAAATTGAATAACTCGAGAAAGACATGTTCGCTTCCGTTGACTAACTAGTGACAAGTAAATCTGTCGATAGAGAAAATTTCAAGTCAAAACTCATTGTTTTAGTTTTTTTCGAAAATATCTTCTTCTTACTAAAAATTTCATTAACAGAACCACAACTCTTTATCAATAGACTATGTATCCGAGTCCTTTTAAGCTTTCTTAGTCTAACAGAGTTTTAAACAATCTTTTCCTGAGAAATTACATCTCTAAAAAAAAAAAAAGAAAACATACATCGGAGTTCGTTTTTTTTTATGCACAGTTGACAATTTAATCAACTTCTATCTTTTGAAAGATAAAAAGTTCTATGAATACATTCAGTAATATTATATTTTGTTTTTAACATAGAATCGTGATATAAGTATTTGGTTTATGGATCGTTCATTACAATTTTATCGACTTGCTTCAACATTTACTGATTATTATCGTCTATTTCTTCTTCATTGTGGTTTACCTTATTGGCAATATAAATATACTGATTTTGGTATTCCACCTTATATATTACATTGGTATTATGCAATTATACCTGCTTTATTAATTTCTCATTCAAATGATGATATATCATCATTGAATTTAATTCAATTTAATGCAGAAAAAGTATTTCAACGAAATACAAATAATTCATCAAAGTTTGATTTTAATATAAATGTTTATTTTTATTTCATTATAACTTTATTTTTTCTTTTTAGAAATCCTAAACCATTAAATCAACAAAATTCAACAGGACAAACTCAACAAGCATATTCTATGGGTAGTATTCGTAGTGCTACACAAAATCAAAAACGTTCGATTCAACAAACGAAAAGGTTATTATTTTTTATTGTCTGTTTTTAATTTTTATTATTTTCTATACTGTTATCTATTTGTAGTATTAATCGATCATCATCTGTTCCACGTTCGATGAATAATCAATAAATTATTTTTTTCGTTTTCTTTGATAAATTTCTGTTTTTTTTTGATAAATTTCTTTTGTTTTTTTGCACATTGTTTGTTTACAATAAATATGTTTTTTTTTTCACTTTTAGATGGATAAAGTAAAGGAACGAACAGGAATATATCATGAACATCAACAGGGTGCTCTTTGTGCTCAACATGCATTAAATAATCTTGTACAAACTCCAGTATTTTCAGCTGATAATTTAGCTGATATAGCTCGGTAAATGAAATAATCAATATTTATATATTATCAATTCAATTTATTCTTTCTAGTGAACTGGATAAAGAAGAAAATAATGTATTAACACATACAATATTTGAATCTGAGAATATGGATGGTTTGTTGAATATTTAGAAAATTTTTTGTCGATAAAAAAAATTTTTTTTTTTTTAAAGATACCGGTTTTTTTAATATTCAAGTATTACAATTAGCATTAAAAATGTTCGATCTTGAATTAATATCTTATGCAAGTCAAGAAGATATTGCTAAACAAGCACGTACTAGTCCTCAAACTATTCAAGCTTATATTTGTAACTTAGGTTTACATTGGTTTACTATAAGACGATTTGGTAGACAATATTTTAATTTAAATTCCTTTTATTATGTACCAGAATTAGTACCCGATCAACAATTAACTGTATATTTAAATCTCATACAAGAAAATGGTTATTCAGTATTTATTGTACATGGATCTTTACCAGACTGTTTAGCTGATCAACAGTTAACAACTAATCCAATAAGCATGCGGGAATATGTTATTTTAACCAAAGATTTACCAAAATTAGTTATGGATGATAAAGTTATGGACGGTTCTCAAACTTTACGCGTACCAAAAGAGTTATATGATGAATATCAAAAAAACCCACATGATCCACAAATAATGCAAAAGATAATGGCATACGCACCGAAACATTTGATTGATGATCAAATCCCAACACATATGCATACTTCAAATCCTCAACATAATCATTCTCGTTATCTTCTACTCCTTTCAGCGAAGTCAAAAGATAACATTAATGAACAAATAAAACATTGCAACTGTCCAAAACATCGTCATCTTCGACAAGTATTAACTGAAAATTTAGAAAAACCTATGATTGACAATCCACTTACTAATAATTTAAATGAACCACGTCAAGGATCTCATATAATAACTGAATACATATCAGAATATATAATTGAACAACCACAGCCTAATAGTTCAAATAAATCACAACAACAGAGAATGGCAGTAACTCGTCAAATGATTGTTGTAAATCGATCATCACATGGAAATAACACATTAGTTGATAATCATGGTGTTCAGCGAGCGTCTATAACAAATATGAGATTTGAAAATGAGGAAGATGATATATGGGAAGATATGGTATCTGATTATTTACTTGATCCATCAGCAATAGATGTAGATGCAGATATCTCTTTTGATATGGATCGCACAGAAAAGTTGAATGAACAACGTCTTAAAGCAGCTATTGCTGCTAGTTTAAAAAGTAACAATTCCGAAACAAAACAAGTTGAAAAAACTCCAGAATCAATTCCAATAACAACTAAAAATTCAGCATCAATACTAACGATGAATTCAGAACGAACACCGACCATCAACTCATCATTAACATCAACGATGAATTCACCACAAACACCAACGATCAGTTCAGAGAGAATACCAATGGTAAATTCAGAACGAACACCAACCATCAATTTGCCACCATCATCAACAACAGCAATGAATTCAGAACGAACATCAACGATTAATTCAGAGCAACAACCAACCATCAATTCGTCGCCAGCACCAGCGATGAATTCAGCACAGACATCAATGATAAATTCATCACCAGCACCAAATATGGATTCAAAACGAATACCAATGGTGAATTTAGAACAAACACCGATCATCAATTCGTCATCGACACCAACAATGAATTTATCACCAACACCAGCGGTGAATTCAGAACGAATACTAACACAAAATATAATTGAAGAACCAAAGCCTGATAACTCAAATAAATCACAACAACAGGGGATGGAAGTAACTCGTCAAATGATTATTATAAATCGATCATCACAGAGAAATAACACATCGATTGATAATCTTGGTGTTCAGCGAATGACTATACCAAATATAGGATTTGGAAATGACGAAGATGATATATGGCAAGATAGGATGCCCGATTATTTACTTGATCCATCGATAATAAACACAGATGCAAATATTTCTTTTAATATGGATCATATAGAAAAGATAAATCAACAAAATCTTGAAGCAGCTATTGCTGCTAGTTTAAAAAGTAATAATTCCGAAACAAAACAAGTTGAAGAAACTCCAGAATCAATTCCAATAACAACTAAAAATTCATCACCAATACCAACGATAAATTCAGAACAAACACCAATAATCAATTCAGAACGAATAGCAATAAATAATCCGACGTCATATTCATCACCATCAACAAATACGAATTCACCTCCACCGACAGTAACAGATCCCGATACCACGAATTCAATAAATATCGAAGGCAAGCTATTTGAAACAATATTGTGTTACTATAGTCTTTGTTGTGGTTTAGGAATCAATTTGTTTTTTGATTTCGAAGAACGTTTTTTTTTTGTAAATCAGCAACACAATACTAGATCTCTACATCTGCTACATTGAAATTTGTTCAGTGTTTGGAGAGATTACAAAAACTCAAGCAGTTTTTCGTAGCATCACATATTGATTATGCAATTTTCTCATCATATTACTTTCAAAACAAATAATATTTTTCGTACTATTCTTTGCACATCATAGATATAGGTATTAGCGGAAAACGAACATAGATGATACATCATTTTTATCTAGAAAGTTATCGAATTGTAACATGACTAAACAGAAATTCTTATTATCGCAGTTTTCAAAAAGTTTTGAGTTGATGTTGCAGGATTCCTATATCATGTGCATTAAAAAATAAATAAATCAAACGAAGTTTTCAAAAAAAAAAAAAACTAAGACATTTTAAAATCGATCTTAAAATATAACTAATTTTTTGTGATATCTTTAATGTTCTTTTTTTTTTTTTGTTTTTAGAATTACGTCGACGTCGTCTAAGAATGTATGGTAATAGAGATAGATCAATAATTTCTCAACAAACAAATTTCGATGATTAGATCATCCCTAAACAATCCGTGAATGAACATTGTGATAATTCTATTTTTCTAATTTTATTTTTATTTTCTTTACATATTTATTATTCATGAAATTCCAGAATACTTTTATTTTCTAATATTTTTAGATCATGTCATCATTTCGTTCTAATCGTATTCGTTCTTTAATAAATCGTCGATCAAATATTCCTATTGAACAATTATCATTATATTCATGTTTATATCATATACGTCCTTATTGTTCATCATCAACAACAACAATTATTAATGAAATATGTCTTCGACGTTTACTTAAATCAAATTATTCATGTCAATTTCAAGAATCAAATCAAATATCTGAACATAAATTATTACCAAATAAATCAACATTTATTCTTGGTCATTATATGTTAACATTATTATTAAATAATCTTCGTTTATATATAATAAATAAAAATAATTTAATATTAATTGGTGAAGATTTATTTACATTTAAAATTGTTTTTATTGGTATATGTACATATAGTGATTTTCAAAATCGAAATTTTTTTAAACAAGATGGTTTTATATTAATGACAGCTGATCAACGTTTATTTTTATATGATTTTAAATTAAAATTACGTATGCCATCACATGGTATTTGTTTTCAATGTGAAATTCCAGTTAAATTTCTTGAAAAATCATTTGAATATCATGAACATACTCATATGATATCAATACATACACGTTATAAACAACGATCACATCTTTTTATTTTATTAAGAATATGGCCACATTGGCTTAGTTATGTTTTTTTAATTGAACCTCATATATTTGGTAATGATCTTAAACAAGCAACTATAACACATGAATTACTTATTGTACAAAATCAACGAAATAGGTAAAATTATTTTATTAAGAAATTTTTGTTTTTTTTTTTAGAAATTTAATTGAACAAAACAAAAAAAAAAGCATAACAACTAGTTTTTTAGTATAATTAACAGTAGAATTCATCTTTCTAAATCAATGAACTGATTTACTTTTTTCTTTAATTAAACATGAGACATTACGCTTCGTTTCATTATTTTTCTTTTGTGTAAATGCTTCTAGTCAATGACAAGAGTGTTACTATTCAAATTACATTTTGAATACTTGATAAGAGAGAAAAAAAAAAAAGAAGTGTTATTTCCGCTGTATGTATTAGAAATAACAAAAAACAAAAAAAATTATTGTTTTTTCTCTTGTAAGCTTTGAATAATCATCAAACAGTTATGATTCTTTTTTGTCAACGTCTAATGATACTAGTGTTGATATTGATTATCAAAACTAAGAGCAAATGAAAATGGATTGCTATAGATCATAATTTATATTGAAATATATCAAAAAAAAAAAAAACAATTAGTCTTATTGAAACCTAATGAATGTTGTAGATATCCATTGAAAGAAAAATCATCAAAACAATATAAATTTAAATAAATTACAAAATTGTTTTTACTATATGAGATGTTCTACTTTTTAAGATCATTCACGTCTTGAAAAAAATCAAGTGTCCATCTACTTTAGTTTCCGAGAAATCATAGTGATAGATCAAGTACATAGGTTCTGATACCATGTGTTAAAAGTCAATCATTTTTTTGAAGTATACATACATTAAGACTGATTGATATACGATAATAGCATACAGAAATCGACTTCGAAAAAGGAAAATATTATTTTTATACACACTTAACATCACTCTATAAAATACAATGCTTAGTTTTCTTGTATTATTAAATTTATTTTCATTGACATTTTTTTTGTTTTCTTCACTCATATACTAATGAATCTATTTTAAGATATAAGAAAACTTTCATAAAATTTCTCTAATCATAAAATCATTTGTTTTTTTTTTGTAATTAAATTTTATTCTAAATTTATAATTCTCTATACAATAGTTCTTTTTGTTTTTATTATTTTATAGTTGTAATCTATATTCACTTCATGCTATTCTTGATGAATATACAATAAAATCACATTCAATAAATGATTATCCTAATGAATTATTACCAATAAATGTTTTAATAACATCTTGTCCAACTTGTTTATTTACATTTAATTGTGAACGTCCATTATTTGATTATGCTTTTTGTAGTACACAACATTTTCTTACACGTATTAATGAAGATTATTTTATTTTAAATATAAATAATAATTTAACACCTATTTTAAATGGTCATTTAAAACGATCATGGACTGATAATTTATCTCCACATAGTCAAGTTTATTTTATTGATACAAAAAATAATCATGATTGTATAATTGATATTCGAGAATCTATTGTACATGTTTGGCAATTAATACATAATGAATTAACATCTATTAAACATTTATATACAATTGATGATGGTATAACTACAATAATAACATCAAATAATCGACATATAACACGTTATGGACGACAAATAAAACCTCAAAATATTTTAGATTTATCATCAACAATTATAACTGATCATTATTTTGATATATATAATAATTTATTAACATTACTTTTTGAATCAGAAGTATCTGATATAGCTATAATACGTGTTATTGAACATCCTATAGGTATATGTCGTCAAGATATTCATTTTAAAAAAAATAATAAACATAATCAATTAAAAATTATGCATGAACATGATAAATTAATTGTTCAAGAACTTAGTTGTCATACAGTTATACTTCGTTTATTTACATTAGAACGTTCAAGATAAAAAGAATTTTCTACTATTCAATTATACGCATTTTTGACTGTTTGTTTTGTATAGAATTATTTTTTTTTTTTTTATTGCAATAAATTTTCTGTTTATAAAAAATAGTAAATATTCTTCTTCTTTTTTTTTTTTTTTTAAATAAAAAAATTTCGATATAATGAGAATGAAAAATACAAGCAATTTATTGTCTTATATGAGAACTGAAGAATAGAAATTTCCTTACAATTCAACGATTTTATAAACGAAAAAAATATATTATTCATGATATATTTATTAACTTAATGACAATTGGTAAATGTTTCGATGTTAAAAAAAATTATCAACAACACATTATTTTAGCTATAACAAAATCAAAATTCCTTGAAGAACTATCATAGACCTATTGATCGTTAAAGAATTCTTTGTCATTGTACTCTTCCATATTGTTGTTGTTATTGTTGTTTAATATTGTTTAATTGAATAAATAAACATCCATATAATTGATTCAATATTTACATTGTCTATTGTCTTACTCAATTTTCTTGCGTGCTACGATATTGCAAATAATATATTTCCAGAGAAGAAAGAGAATAGCTCCAAATACAAATGATAATAACATTAATGACCTTTCCAGATTTTGTAGAGTTCTCTTTACTGATCATTTGAATAAAAAGTTCTTTAAATTTAATAAATGAATGATGATGATGATGCTACGATCAACACCGTGCAAGAAAAAACTTATAGTTCTAGTAGAAAGAGTTGTTTCGGATTTTTTTTCAATATTTTGACTCTAGTACCGTTATTCAAGTGTTCTTATTAAAATGATCTAAAACGTCTAATAGATAAAAAATTTCCTTAGATCTATTTATTTTTCTTGCTTGATTAGATATATTCCTTAATTATATGTCTGAAATGTTGCAACATCCGGTAACTCTCTAGTTCCTGATTATTCTATGAATGATCAAATTATACAACTAAATTCTATTCTGTACGACCTTTTATTTGACATAAAATTTAATGTTAAATAATATTGATATTTAAAACGATAAACCTTTTCGCTTGTGGAAAAATACTTTTTTCTAACTCTGTAAATCATTATCTTATATTAATTAATTTTCTTCAATTGATAATTTTATTTTTCATTTCAAAAATCTTATAGAAAATTAATTTTTTAACTTATCTATTTTAACATATTTATTTCATTTTTTTAAAACAATCTACAGAGGATAAAATGAATGCATATAAATGTGTGATCTACTTAAAAGCTGGTTAGAATAGAATGAACAGTAACAAAAAAAAAAAAAGATAATAGTTCTTGTTCAAGACGTCGAAAGAAGTTTTTGTACAAATTCTATAAAGAATATATTTTTTTTTAAAAAAAAAGCCAGAATTTAATAAATGATTATTTTCTTACCTTGATAATCAAGTTTACCATCTTTATTTACATCAGCCTAAATAAAATCAAAATTTAATCATAATCAATTAATAATAATAATTATTATTATTAACAAACTTCTCGCATCATATCTTCTAATTCTTCTTGATTTAATTTTTCACCCATATTAAGCATAACCTTCAATATAGAAAAAAACAAACATCAATGATTATAAAATATGAATAATATTTAAATTAACCTGTTTTAATTCATTAATAGTTATATATCCAGAATTATCACGATCAAAAAGTCGAAAAGCTTCTCGTAATTCAGCTTCTTGATCACGTTCATGCCAATGTTTATTCATAAATGCAATAAATTCTTGAAAATCTAGACGTTGATTACCTAATAACATATATTTAGAAAAAGAAAAGTAAACTCAAAAATCATTTCAAATTACCATTTTTATCTACTTCAGCAATTAAATCTGTAATCTCTTTATTTGTTGGATTTAACCCTAATGATCGCATTACTTGTCTAAAAAAAAAAACAGACAAAAAAAGACACATATAACAAAATCATTTTTTATCATATGAAATTTAATCTTCAATATTTCATTTTGTATATTAAATATAACATTAATATTTCATTATTAACTAATATAATAATTATTAGTTTTAAGAATACTATTAACTCTAAAAAGTGAATTATAATTTTTAACATTATACAAATATGTTCTCAAAAAATGTCATAGTAATTAGTTCAATATAGTTAATGATACCCTTCAGGAAGCGAAATGTAGTCATTTTTTTTCCTTTTGAAGAAAGCTTATTACAAAATAATATGTATATAGGCGTAGATTTTCTATAGAATCACTAGTTAGATATTACTTGTTCTAATAGAAAAAAAAGTCAAGATTGTTTAAAAAAAAAAACTAACTCTCATTATATTCTTATTCAATAAACAAAATGTATTGAACAATTAATTAATTATTATATGAGAATAAGAAAGAATTTTTTTTTTTTTTTCAAATACTAACCCAATTTCATTTGCATCAATATTACCATCTCCATTCTTATCGAATAATTCGAATACATGTCGAAATTCTTTACGAATAAAAACATTTGAAAAAAAAACAAAACATATATATATATTTTTTGATTTGTATTTTTTAATTATAGTTTTTCCTTACCTTCAGTTTTTGCAGTCGAAAATGTACTCTAAAGAAAAAAAAAGAATCATTATCAACATGAATACATTCTAATACTTTAAAATGCTTACCATTATTCACTAATAAGTTCGATGAAATATAGACAATAAGAAGTTGTAGTATGTAAGATTAGATGATAGAAGAGTCAATCCGTCAAGTCTCTTGTTTCTCCATGCAAATATTAGTCTGCGTAAAGGAAAGCAAAAAAACAGAACGAGAGAGAGAGAGAGAGAGAAAAGGATGGATTAATTAAGTAGAGCAGATAGGTGGATATAACGGATGATGTTTGGAGTCAGATTACGGTTGCTATTCTTCCAATCTAATGTTTATAATGGCGTCGACAAGAGAAGAAAAAAAAGAAATAAGAAAGAGAATTTTCATTTTGCAAAATCGGACATGATTTGAAGCTTGCCGTTCGTTTTTCTCTCTCTCTTTTTTTTTTAAATTGACGTTCTGCTATTGTTGTTGTTGTTGCATTACATGTTTTATTTTTAACAAATGAAAAACAACATATATATTTTTCTTTTCTTTTTTGATAAAATATGTTTCTATGACTTCGTATTACTTTATTTCATGTTGCTAATGGCTGATTTGTTATTCATCTAACATATAAACTTCACATATATATAGTTGATTAGAACAGAACAAACAAGATTTAAGAGACTATACACGACTTAAAACATATAGGACAAAAAAAAATAAACATGTCTTTTTTGTTTACTTAATTGATCCCTATCGAAGATAAAGATTTTAAATTGGAAAATTATTCTGTTATTTGATAATTTTATTTTATCGAAATTATAAAACATGACAATGTAATTCAAAGCGAACAAAAACAAAACAAAAAAAAAAAGAATTATTTTTATCATTTACTTATTGTAGAACTATATAAAGATGTCATAACATTAATAAGTTCATGTTCCATATTCATTATGCCATTTTTTTGTCGTTCATGACCTTTAATATTGAAATTGTGTATCTGTATAATATTAAAGGATTTATCTAAGATGTATTAATATATTAGTTACTTTCATATGAGCATCGTCATGATCTAGATTATAGATTCTTTAAAGAGAACATATAAAATTATTTTTAATATTTGTAAGTTTTCTCACAACAAGATCAATTTCTATTTATTTTATAGTATCGAAAACTTAATTTACATGAATCATAATTGAATACTATCAGAAGAGAAAGTTCAAATAAAATATTATATGTTATACAGTAGACATATAATTAGAAATAGATTTTTTTTATAAAACATTAAATTCTCTAAGGTGATTAAAGAAAAAAGAAAAAGATATTCTTTTGAAAAATACTAAAATCTGTTTTATAATTTCATTTTTTTTTTTGAAATTATAATCTAGCTTAATGTATTAGGATATTTTTTTTTTTCTAAACAATAGTAATTATGAACATTGATCATTTAGAATAAAATTTCAATATGTCAATTAATTTTTATAATTCTACACGAATAATTAACGTTTAAAAAAAAACAAACTCTCACAAATACTTCAATGATAATGATCTTAGTTATCAAAATACTTTCTCTAATAGGAAATTTCTTATGATTTTAATAGTTATGTTTTAAAAATTCGTAGTTAAATAACAATGTCTTAACTGTAAATTATTTCTTCGAATTCGATTTTATATGATTGGAACTTATTTAGATAATTCTATAAATTTTGTGATATATTTAGCTAAAAATAATTTTTATGTTAATTCGAATAGAAAAAAAAAAACAAGTTATAATATTTCAACATATGTTTCCTTTAGTTTTTCTTATCTACATGATCAATATTTCTTTGTCACTGATGTATTTTCATCTGTTCTTTAATGAAATGAATAAATTGCAACAGCCTGGCCAACTAAAAAAAAACAAACAAAGGTCATGCTTCACCAAAGTTGAATAAAAGATTTCTCGACCATAAAATGATCGAACTTATTCATTCGAAATTTTCTTTTTTTATATCGATAGCGAAAATCAATGGTAGTCATTAGCCAAAGTCATAAGCATTTTTTTTTTTGTGCAAAAAATAATATCTTATCATCTCGTATCACATTTTGAACATTATTATATCATAATAGTAGTATCACCTGAAGGCTGAGCTACAGATTGACATCATTGGGTTACCTTATTTTGTCCTCAAAGTTGTAAAAATAATGTTTTTACAGTACGTCTGAAAAAAGCCTCCCGGTGTGTTAACTTTTTTCAGAAACAAACTTCTAAAAAAAAACAAATCTCATCATTATAAAGTTTGTTGTCTTAGCTACGAACATAAATGATAATATTTTGTTCAAAACGAGAAAATTTTCAGCTATTTTTCACATTAAATTGTTAAGTTATAACAATCCGAAGATCAAACCTAGATGAACGTGTCACCAGAAACACAAGCTGTCAAAATCTACTTTTTCAATAAGTAAAATCAATATAAA